CATCGTTACTCTGCATCAAGGATACCATTAGTTGATACTTTATTACTTGAAAACACGTGTAACTTGCCCCATTATCATCATCATCAATTAAAACTTCACGTCGCATTCGTTCGATGAATTATTTATTACATTTGCAACCGGTGCTTACCCTTTAATAGCGCGCAATAAAATTTTTTGTCCGGACAATGTTACATCTTCACGAGCAATTTGATTTCATTAAAAGTATGACGATGTCGCAGTAAACATTAAACTTCAATATCAATGATATCACTATGCAATATATCTCTATGATTCTTGTCTTTCTGTCCTGAATCAATATACGATATGAAATATTGGATCACTAGAAATATTATTAATCTCCCAGTAATATCAGTTACCTGTAAACTATTAATACACTCGATGTGCATTCAGTCTATCGATAATTTCAAGTATCTTTTTAGCAGTATAACTTTTATTTGCTATCAAGACATTTTTTGTTTATATATTACGTAAAGAATTTGTAAAAATAATATACATTTTCAACATAAATAATAATTGTAATGTTACTTGCATTTCTGGACAGATCTCATTATGTATATAAAGTTTATATAAATGTAAGAGAGATTTTTCAATATTGAAAGTGAGAAAAATCTTTCATTTTCCAATAAACTCTATAAACATAATAAGATCTATCAAGAAATGCAAGTAACAGTACAATTATTATTCATTTAATTATTATTTATGTCGAAATCATTTATTTTTAAACTCTTTTATATAAACAAAAAATATCTTAATAAAAAATAAAAGTACCGCAGATACTATGGCTATGTTCAGCAGAGAAAGCAGCTTTGCAACTGTTGTAAAATTTTTCAATATGATTGGTTTTTACTTTTGATTTCTTTTAAATCTAAATGTATAAACCAATCATGTTGAAGAATTTTGCAACAGTTGCAAAGTTGCTTTCTCTGCTAAACGCAGCCTGTGGAAAATTCTGAGAAACTGATATTTTTATAAGAAATGATATTTATGGAATACATTTTGTTGTATAATGAATACAAAGTTTCAATATGCTTTTGTAATTCTACTTCTTTTCTTTGGCTATTGTAATGATTGTTCCATGTTCGACTGTCAATACGTGACTTTCATTGTGCGCAAAGCCAATAAATGGTATTTCTTTCCGGTGTTTTTACAATTCTTTACGTTGTGCAATTCTTTGATTGTTTAAATTGCCTTAAATAATAATTGCTTATCGAAGAATAGTGTATGATAACATATTTTTTTTTACAAAGAGAATCAGTGTGAACAACATGTATAATAATTAAATATACTTGACACGAAAACTAATTTTTATTTATGGTGGATGGCGAGATTAATTATGTTAACTATGTACATATAATGTAAAATTCTAATTGAAACATATAAAATGTACATATCTTACATGACATACAGACCGCCAGCATTTAGAAGTAATACAATTTTGTATATACATCTTTTACTTTTAAAATCGGTAGTAAGAAAATTAATTTGTGTTTATTATAATGTAATTTATTTAATTTCAAACAATTGTAACACTAAGAGATAAAAATTTAAAAATAATTTAATTTAAGTAAAATTAATTTTCTATATGACTTCAATTGAAATGGATTATTGAATTTCTTCCATGACTTCTATAAGGTTTGGTCTAGCTATTAAATAATATTGCATTTCTGGATACTCTTGAGTCCTACTACCATTGCAAAAGTGGTTGATACGAAAAAGAGCATCGTAGGCCAATTTCATCCGGGCTGCTTCGGCTGCGCTCTTCGAAACCAATATCGCAATGTTCGCCGCGGAAAGTTCGTCCGGTAATGCCATACAATATCTACTCCAGCTTCCATTACTCCGCTCCAACCGTGCCTTGTAGCTTCCCTCTCCCCTCTAGTTCTAGATAGGCTTCCCCTCCCAACCGTGCGACCGCCGCCACCATCTCTTCCTCCTCGTCCTCTCTACCTCCATGAAGTGCCGTCCACCTCCACCGGGTTTCGCTTCCTCTCTACCTCCGACCTCCGTGGACCTCCATCCGGCAGGCAGGAGGAGAGGATGGAGAGGTGGAATAGCCCCGCGGAGAAGGAGGCTCGGCGAGAAAGGAAGACGGGCAGCGCACTGAAAGTATCCGAGAAAGGAGGATGGATCGCGCATCGGGAATCGGTGAGAAAGAAGGATGGTCGCGCGAGACATCGGGACGGTCGGCACACGGTAGGAAAGAGGAGAGGGGACGAAGGAGACATGCCGAAGAGAAGAGGAGTTCGAGGGGGTTGGCTGCAGGCACCGGCGTGGTCGTCGTCGTTTTCTTCTACGTTGTCGTCGTCGACGTCGTCGTCCTCCTCCACCTCCTCCTCCTCCTCCTGCCCCCTCCCCCTCCTCCACCTTCTTCTCCTCCTTCTACTTCTCCTCGTTCTCCTTCTTCTTGTCGTCGTCGCTTCTCTACCCCTGGCAGGCAGGCTTCTTCCTTTTTTTCTCCTTTTTCCAATTATCGATAAGACGGAGACGGCGCAATACCGCGACGGTGCTCCGAGAAGAGGAGTAGGTAAGCGTTCTCTCTCGACTACTCTTCTCTCATGATATCCACCACTACTGCCGCCGGTACAACACCGCTCTTTCCCTCCCTATAAACGGTACCTCTGCGTCCTCCTTCGCTCTGTTCACCCCTCTCTCGTCTGGTTTGCTCGCGCGATAAAATTGCCTCCTCGGTCTTGTTCGATGCCCTCTTCTTCCTTCTCTTCTTCTTCCTCCACATCTTCGTCTTTCTCTTATTTTCTTCTCTCGTGTTTTTCGCGTAATGCGTGGCATAGCTGAAGGGCCAACAGAACAGGAGGAGAGAGAGAGAGAGAGAGAGAGACAGAGAGGGGGGGGGGTGAGAGAGAGACGAGGAGGAGGGAAAGAGCCGGCGTGCACAGGAGCGCGGGAGGAGCTGGAGGAGACGGTGGAGGAGGTCGAAGCGATTTAACACGATTGGCCGGTAGGAATAAACTGGCAACACGCGCATTGGTTCCATCGGTTCCATTGGCTATCGGGGCTTGTCGCTTTCTCTCGCGCACCGGCGACGTTTCTATCGGACTGACCGACTCCTTCTTGCACCGACGCGACCCGATCGATCTTCTCTTTTGCCACCCCTTTCCGCCATACAACCGGACTAGCTTTGATTTTATGGTAGCACGGTGAATTGTTCGCGGCAATGATCCCAAAGCTGTTCCCAGGCTATTTTTCCGTTTCCACGAACGCGACGTGTGCGCGCACTATTAACGAGCGCGTATATGCGGGACGACGTGAGGATCGGCAATTGGCGCGATTTCTCGGGCCGGCCATTGCATTTCCGGCTTTATTCAGATGAAGTTAATAATTGTTATTGTCGCCGCGGTACATCCGTCGTTCCCCTTCCTTCCTTCAAATCGTTGCGATTCTACGTTCGGCACAATCGTCATTTCGATTTCAAGTACAATTGCGCTGAATATCGCGTTTAAGCGTCAGCCTTTTAAATGATGACGCAAAGCGGCTTTAAAAACCCAATTGAATCAAACTGTTTCCGCGAATTTATAGAAAAAATGTTTTCTCGTTTACATTTTGAATAAATCAACTAGGAATTATTCTCAGAACGTTATTATTATTATTATTATTTTCTTTTGTAATATGAATATGCAGAAATAGCTGTCGTGATTATCATCGCCTTAAAGTTATTCGTGACGTTGTGTTAAACACTGGCAATTTCGACAAATATGATATAGATTGGATATAGGATTGTTGTTTACAACAATCAATTTTGCCGATATGTATCAATCACCCCTAACGATCTCAAGATGAGTAGAGGTCGTCTCGACTGCAAAAAGATTAATCGCTCGAGAGGAAGGTGCGAAAGGACAGGTGTGTCCGAGACCCTCGGGAGAGGCTTACGCCTAGTATCGTATTATTTCGCGACGCAAGATATTACTCCGACCGGCGTTGGCGGGCTTCGGTACGCTCGGCCGGGCGCCATGTTTGATTGCTCGACGTCGTTGATCGCCGTCCGGCAGGAATTATCATAACTCATCCGGGTAATCTAGCCACCGACTGGAAGAAAGCGACACCGTCACGTGGGTGTTATTTACCCGACGCGATGAGGGAACTTTTGAGTCATGGTCATCGTGCGGCTGACTCGTTCGTATATTGGACTTTATGTGTCTCGGCATTAGAGACACGCGAGAAGAAGAAAGAACGAAGCTACGAGGGAATGGACAGGAATAAGTTACAGAGATGAGAGGAGAGAAGGAGAAAGAGGGGAGAAGTTCCACGTGGTGGTACCGAAATTGATTGCTCATGTGATGCCATTGATATTGTGTCTCGCCGCGGTTGAATTTAAGATCCTGCGGGCTTTATAACGTATATAACGAATCCCAGAGTTGGACGCTTCTTCTCACGCTCGAGATAAATTACAGTTATTATAATTCTTCAGATTCGAGATAGTCATTACTCGGGATCGATGATAATGCGCTAATGCACGCGAATGATTACCACAAACGTGCTCCATTCGCGTACGATTTCTACTGCGGGATACTACTAGTACTCCGCGACCGCAAAACTTCCTTCATATGCCGAACACTCTCTACGCCGGCGAGCCACCGCGAGATTTTTTTCCCGGCGGCGTCGTTCCCGACAAAGGTCAGAAAACTCCGCGTAGGTGATTTCGAGGTGGTCCGAGGTCAAGCTTCTTTGACCGCAGAAGCGCGGAGAACTCGGGTATTTTGCTCCGTGAGTCTCAACTTCTCCGTTTTCCGCCTCCTCGCCCCTTCCCATTCACTCGCTTCTGTTTCCCAGCACGACCCGTTTTCGTCCGTCCGTCCGTCCGTCCGTCCGTCTGTTCGCCCGTCCCCTCCGCTTCTCCGGTCCGTCTCGCGGCTGACTCCGGAGGCGTACGCTGGTATTATTTATCTTGTGAATACCAAACACGCGCCGGCGCGGCATTGTATTATAATTTACTTACCGACGTTATAATTACAATTCTGTACAAGTGACCGGTGGCAGGGTGCACCAAGGTCCGTACCTGTTACCATACCGCAACTACCCGCTTCCGCGTAGCGCTTCGTCCCGGTGGGCACCTCCACCACCATCGCCGCCGTCGCCACCGCCGCCGCCACCACCATCGGCTAGAACGCATCGCGCGGAGGCCCTGTTTGCACAGGCCGGGCCATAATATTCAATTCCAATTCATCCAGTATTAACCTTGCTGCGGAATATAATGGGCTACCCGATACCACCGGTGTAACTTTCACGCACCTAACGTGTGTACCGAGTACCAGGAGAATACCGCTGAGTACCAGAGCGAATGCTCGCAGCCTGGAGCGAGCTTATTTGATCATTGTACCTTGGTGATTATATCCGGACGAATGTGCATCCTTTTTGACCCATTGTGTTGCCTTACGGCGCGTTTCGTGTTACTTTACAGGGATTTTCATTCATACGACAAGGTTAACGTAATCTCACTTCTTGAGCGATACTACTGAAACCGAGTGAAATATTTTAAGCCAATTTTATGTTGAATACAAAAAGGACAATTTTGTTGAAGTATTCAAAAAGTATTTAGCTGGATGCAGATTTGAAAATAATTTTGTCGAACGATTATCAAAATAATTATGTAGGATGTTTAAACTGGTTACTAGAATATCAAAACTTTTTACAATATTATCGTTATGCTCCTATGAGCACATCCTATGTGTAATTATCTTGATGGTTCAGCCAATTATTTTCAGATCTGTATTTAATTAAATTTTTACATACTTTAGCAATATCCTGCATTTCCTCCACGTACGTAAAATTGATCAACTTAATTAATCCGGGAGCTGCTTGTCTTCGTAACTAGGAACTTTACCGATTCTTTACTTACCACAATCTTAATCATACTTGCAATAATACGGCTGCAGAGGATTAGAATAATATCGCTGATGTAAACGTAGCTATGTAACGACTCTAACCGCATCTTCGCTATAATTTCATTTGTAATAGCGATGTCGTGTGGCGAACGGTGCTGGCTGAGGAAGTCGTTCTTCGCACCGGTATACGAAGGTCATTTAGAAACGATCGACGAACGATTAGTATCGAAGAAGAAGGGACGAGCGCGCATCTGGCGCACCTGACGGTCAGTCGTACCTTCTTCTTGTCTCGTTCTTTCTCTCTCTGTCTTGCTCTTAGTTCCCCATTCTCCACAACCCTTCGACACAATGTGTATCAGTTGATAGACGTTGGGCCTTGTAACGTTCACTTCTTAATGATCGTTATTGAAATTTTACTGCTTCTTAATTAGGAATTAATGACTGGTTGCACTACAACCCCTGTCGTTAAGAAATTAGCGAGACGGACCTCGTTACTTACGATAATCGGGCATTCCTTTAATTTTTTTTCAATATTATTTTTATTTCTTCACTAATCTTCAAACCTGATATCATCTCTTATAGGCAGAAAATATTTCAGTAATGTGATAATGAATAAAACAGTATTTGGAAGAGTTACGAGTACCAGGTGGTTGTTATGAAACATATAGTTGCAGGGACATATTCATTTTGGAAACATATTTATTTAATAGTAATTGACAATATCGTTCTATTCTTTTTGAATTAATTGCCATAATTTTAATATAATTTGGAGTAATTGTTTTGTTTTGTTTTGCAATGTTTTGCATACACATAAAATTTTAAAACATATAAATATAAGCGATTTAACTGATTCTTTTAGAACTGTGTAAATATACCGTATAAATATACTTTGTGAGGAACAAAAACAAGAGATTTTTTTTTCGTACGTACAAGAAAGACACAGCTGTTCACAGTCGATGCTATTCTTCAGTTTGCACGCGGCCACTTTCGATTATGTAAAAAAAGTCGTGAAAGTACGCGGGAGAAGCGTACAGCGTCGTAACGTACAGGCGGATTTTTGTGAATAATCGTGATAAAATCTCCCCGCACGAACATTTCGCCGAATCTTACCGGTCGATCTGCGGCTTACTTACGAAACGAGCGTGCGCTAGTGCGTAGCGGGCATTACGAATTCGTGCGTAGGCAATAAGAAGTACCTGTGGCGGCAATAAAGGAAGACGCGCCGGAGTGGGTTGCCTTGTTCACTTATGCGAGCGGCGCCGCTCGAGTGACTTCTCGAACGGAATTTCACCGACATCTGCGTGTCCTCCGTGGCTTCCCTTCGGTTTCCTCACCTGATCGCCGCCCCGCTTTACACTCGTGTGTCGACCTGCACGCACGCACATATGCACGTACTGCGGAATACGTTTTGCGGAACGTCGAACTCGCGACGACTCGAAATGTAAAGGTGCTGCGCGTCAAGGGTGAACGAGCACGACATACGGAGAGTCGGACTCGCGTATATTGACGTGACCACGCTGCACTTTCTTGCCGATCCGGTAACCGACATCCTTTTATCAACGTCAGTGGTATGTTTATGAATAAGACGGGATATGCTGATGTAGAGCTTTCGCAAATAATAGTTTATCATCAAGATTCGGAGAATCGGATGATAGACGTAATGAGATAGCGTTTGTAGGTTTCACCAATTGATATTTTCACTTCGTTTTATTATTTGATGGAAAGAATAATAAAACGTGTGTAAATACTTCATGTCTTTATTGATCGAAGTTGCGCCATCGAATTGTCAATCCGATCACGAATATAAATTTGCTAGTTAAACGCCAACATCCACGTCTTGTTAAAATCTCTCGCGGCGTTAAAATAGTCTCTACCCGCAATATTTTTCCGCATCGAGATTCTTTCTCACATCCCGACGCATTATCGGGCATCGTACGCGCGGCGTACAAACGACGAAGAATGGACCCACTGTAAATTTTTAAAATAAACTTCCTCAGCGTGTGAGAAGCACACACGATCGACAAGCTTGCGTGCACAGAAAACCGTTCGCCGTCTTCGAGTATGTAGGAAACCGGAAGTTTTTCTTGGCGATAGCGCGAAGAGGGAACGTGGAAAGGGGAATTCGTATTCCCTCGGTCGCCGGTATTCGGAGTACAGGTGTAAGCTACCTGCCGGTCGTACCATCTACAGGGCGGCCCCTGTTAAGGGAAAGCTGCAGGCGCGATAAAGAGTTCAAATTGAAAGTTAATTTTCTGCACCCCGTTCCTCGCACACCTCCCCCCCTATCGCGATTCCTCTCCCTCTCACTTTCTCTCGTTCTCTCTCAGATATTTAGCCGATAATGGCTGTGCGAGTATCCTACCTATCTACCTGCTGCTGTTGCTGCCGCTCGTCGTCTCGGCGCATGAGTCGCACGAGCCGAACCATCGATAATTAATATCTTCAGCCCGTTTCGGCCGGTGCGTTCTAATTGACGATCGCAATTAGTTCCGGACTATATAACAGCTCCAATCGGTTCGACGGGCGTGGAGTGCCCAAACAATTCAATGAGTTCACGCTTCCGTAGAATAAGCCAATGGATAAGCGCGTGCTCAATCTTCCCTATTGTTCAGATTGTAGGATTACAATAGAAATAGTATTTAAAACAAAGACATCAACATCAAATGGTATATATAAGTTTAGAGCAAATAAGGATTAATTACAAAGTATTTATTGGATCGCATGTTGAATATTAAAAATTCCTCCCTGACAAGCTTATTATCGATTAAAGACTTTTTATTCAATATACATAATATTAAAATTGTTTTTTTAACGCTTTCATAACTAGCGAGCTTTAAACACGAAGTTATATATTATAGTATTATATTGTTTAATCAATTTACCGATCCGCGTATGTGCAATAGTCGCGAAATGTTGATACGCCCGGCACGCGCAACCCTTCATTGCGGTCAAGGGATGGCGGAGCAGCTCGTGGTCAGGTTCCTCGAGTCCTTCCTGCCTCTCGGAAACGTTCGTATCTCGGGGGCCCGTACAATTCGTTCTCCCGGTTTTCCGCAGGGACTATTAACCCCCCTCTTTCCCCCCCCCTCCTCACTCTCTCCTCCTCAGTAACGTGTGAAAACGGTTGTAAATTTCAGCGCGGCACAGTGTAATGGCTGGCAGGACTTTAAGGATGTATAATATGAACAAGGGGCACTCCTTCACCCCCATTCCCCCTCCCCATCCCGCCCAACCGTCGGGTTCTACTCTCGCGACTCCGACACCCTCGCACGCGCGTAAGAATGTGCAGTAATATACTCCGCGCGCTTGAAGCCCCACCCACGGACGGCGAAAGGGGTAAGTGAGCCTGGTGCTCCTACGGCCGCATAAACATAAATTATCAGCTGGTAATTACGAGATACAGCTAACCTCTTCCTCCTACCATCATCTAACGGCACCATCAGCGGCGCGTGGTATCGCCACCGTCGTCGTAGCCGTCCTCGCTTTCCTTTTCTTCGGAGAGGAGCACCGCCTTGGGCGAAGCGGGAAAAGTCTCAAGCAGGAGGGATGCAACAGCTCCCTTTCGCCCTTAAGCGGACGAAACAAAATTGCGTGGGCCGCCTAATTGTTATATACATTCCATTAGGTTAATTGCTGAATTAAGACTTCTGCTCTCTCTGCGTGCGGGTTCTCGCGCGGTATGTATGAGTTATGATCGAGAAGATAATGGGCGTTATAAAGAATAACGATTTAACTGTTCTAATGACTCCATTAGTTGCGATAATATATATATGATGTGTCGCACATTCGGAATGAAGAAAATACGAAGAATTCATCTCGGTACATACATATAATATATATAATAATAATAACGAGCACTCGGTCACTTCAATTATTCATTACTCGTACTTCTTATTATGTCGTTAGTGGTAGTATCGACAAGGATATCGAATACTATGCGTATTGCGTACAAGACGAGTCGATAATCACGATCCTCCCGTGGAGGTTGCTTTATTCAAATACGCTTCGATCGGGACCGGACGCGCACGACGACTCTTCGTCGTTCTTTTATCGGTTTGCAGGATTCCTCCTCATCTCCTGCGCTGCACACGATTGCCCTGCGCGTCTTGTGGGAGGGCAGACTCACAAAACATAATGCGGCGCGCGTAAGTCGAAGAATCCGCGCCGGTATGGGTGGCGGACATCCTCCGGTCCTCTCCGTGCCTCGCACGTACCATCGGCGCGCGTATGCGTGTGAGTAATTAAAGAGAGCGACTGTCACATCCGGCGACCCACGCGAGCAGGGTGCGGCCCCGGCATTCGCCCTCCCTGTTCCTCTACCGGA